TCGCGACGAGTGGTTATCAGCGCTGTTTTGAGGCCGTGGTCACAACAGTGGCGGCGTACGAAGCCATCAGCATCCCAGTCGCGCCCAGTTGGTTAAGGCCGCGAGTTGAATTAATGGAATTGATACAATTATTTGAATGTGTGGGTCAGTGATGCAGAGTACGTGTGCATGTTGAACTTCTTTTGCACCGTACGTAGCCAACCGTGCGAATCGGAGGTGCGGGGGAAGGACAATGAACTAGCACACAACAAGAAGTTCGAAAAAAAAACGAGTTGTCAATCCGGATTTAAAAGTGCATAGCTCCAGCGGATTCCTAATGTCGGAAGGAAGATCGTTCCAGACGGCCGCAGAAGCGCACCTGAAAGCGCGCGATGGAGTGACCTTCAACAACGACCAACCACGCATCATTTTGAGTAACTTTTCAGCCTTAACCCTGCACAGCTTCCGAGGTCTGACGGGATTTGCATGCATTTCGCGTGATTTGGTCCAAAGGGGTATTTAACCTCCCGACGAACGCAACGTCTATTTACGTATGCTTAGCGAGGAACACGATTGTAAAATTAAACATGAAAGGGTGGCAATTTCACATATCCGCAGAGCTGCAGATAAAAAAAGAACAACACTTTAAAGTTTTACACCTGGAGGAATATAAATCGGCTGTGCACAGCCAAAGCTGTTTTTTTTGGTATTGGAATGAAACCAATGCACACGTTAACGAGCTCGAATTAGCATATTTTAATGATCTCCTTGTCTGAGAAATTATGTTTAAAAACATGCATCATCATCAAGAGGTGGCCGAGTTGGCCCAGACATCTGAGATCATGGGTTTTGAATTGGGATTTTAGCCACTCGTGATTAAATATTAAACTGGGAAAGTATTGTGAGCTGATGGGTCTCATCCTGGTTACTAATGACTGCCCACACACAAAAAAACCCCATCGTGTTTAATTTGGGTTTTCACTTAATTTTGATAAATTCTAGCTCTGATAAGGAGAAAATATCATGTTTTTATTTGACTACCATAGGACAAACCATAGTGTGGCTAAGAGGTCACGGGCTGGGAATCTCAGAAGCAGTTCTATGACATCTCCTTCAGCGGAGCGTTCTCTGGCGTGGGGCTTACGCTCTCCCCTGCAAGAGTTCCGAATGGACCAACTGTCCCATGATGGCAGCTATCGAAAAGATGATGCGACATGAATTAAACTTTATCAGAAATTCACGTTGCAATTAGGGACTTGTCCCGTTGAAAAGTGGCCATGGAGATCACAGGGTTATTGCCCGATATGTGGCGAAACAAAACCAGAGCAGAAGAGGAATAGTCACAAACATGCAAACACATTTGGCCCCGACAGCTAACACAGCGTTAATTTAACTCAAACTCTTTCATCTGCATGGGATCAAGTGTTGCCCACCCCCGCCCTCGCACGGGTGGGGTTTTGTCCGGTTGCTCAAGCATCCTCCCGCATGTCAACACTCATGAACTGGCCGATAACAACTTCATATATAGAGGACCGCAGAGCTTGGTGGGAGGAGGGGGGGGGTTAGCGGCGGCTGCTGTCTTTCTCGCACGCCTGTCGTTCCTCCTCGCGCCTCTGAGTCATCATCTGTCTCTCTCTCTCTCTCCTCTCTCTGAGAACGAGCCTCGGGAATGGAAATTAATATTATTATTAACTGAACGCTTCCTAGGACAAACGCATGCTTGAAAGCATCACGTCGTCTACGCGTATGCATTACGCTTCTCTGCTCGTGTTACTGTGCAGCCGAGACAAGCAGCAGATCTTCGCGATTGGTCAAGAAACTCCAACTCGCCCCGCTATCAACGCCACGATGTTTCGTTGTTTTTTTTGTTGGTGGCGAGCCAGGGGGAAGCGCATTTCGGAATGGAGGCATCGGTGCGCGTGCTGTGCATGTTCAGGGGATTCTGTGGAAAAAAATGTGGGTGGAGAACAGAATGCAAAAAGAAACCCCCCCATGCTCACTCAGCACACTTACTCACTCGCTCACACAAGACAAAGATCCCCCGTACAGCCTTTTAACAGACTGTCGGGGCAAGTGCTGTTAGCGAGCACCTATGAAGGCCGGCACAGCACACGAACGGGTGGGTGGCCAGCACCACGCCCGGCCGCCTTTGTCTCCCTAGCGGCAATGCTTTTACACGTCGCACTAGGTACTCATTTGAAGCTGAGTCGACCTAGGGGAGGCCCAGAACCGGTTCAGGTAATCGTCATCGGTGTTGGCCGTGAGCGGGAATCGAAGTCGGGTCGCCGGCTTCGTAGCGCTAACCGCGCTACACCACCGCTCCCCTATACTCACACTCACAGAATCTCACCCCCTCCCTTGAGCACGTCCATGGGGAACGGTGAACGGCAGTTGCTGAGCGAAGAGGTCTGCAGCCCAAATGAGATTTCATGCTTCGCGAGCATTTCAGCGCTACCAAATCCTCTTGCGTGGCAGGAACGCCGATCATTTATTTATTTAAAGGCAAACGATACATTTCATCATTATCAGCCTTGATCAATCCACCGCTCGATGAAGGCCTTCCCAATCTGTCTTCATTGTCATAATTATAATAATACTCATGGTAATCTACTCGCATCTGCACGGGAATTAATTTAATCGCTGCATCTCTGCGGTGGGATCCTCTCTGATGCATTATATCCCTTGGCTGCCACTACCGTTATTCTTCTTCTAGACAGTCGGGCACCGTCCCTTCTAGGCGTGACAGGTCCTAAGCATGCCAAAGTGTGTCCATGTGCACCAAACTAATCCCATTTCTCGCATTTAGACTGCTGGACTCAACGAGGCTCTTTGCCCGCTCCAAAAAAAAGGTAATGGATCCAGCTATTTGTATAAGTCTATGCAAGTCGGTGGGTTTCAATGTACGTTCATATAATTCCATGGGTTTTAGGCAAGTCAAGGCAAGTGTCTGCAGTTATATGGGTCTTTGTGTAATCATATGGAAGTAAATGGATCTGTATAGAAGTCCACACAAGTCAAAGAGTCTCTATGTAACTGTATACGTCCCTGTGTAAGCATATGTAATTCTATAAATCTGTGTGTAAGTCTACACGTCTCTCCATGTAAGACTATGTAAGTCTGTGTATCTCTCTGTAAGTCCACACAAGTCTGTGGCTCTCAATGCAAGCCTGCACAAGTCTACAGGTCTCAATGAAATTCCATATTGGCCCATAGCTCTCAGCGTAAGTGTGTAATATCTTTAAGCACTTATATCATCCCCTGAATCAGACTTCTGCTTTAAATGACCTATCACCTGCTCATAAACACAGGCCCATGCGTCAATGTGTCCGCCTGCATTTAGAGGCTCCTTCAATCAAATCTGCAAAATGCATTTCCGGCCTCTCTCAAGCCGTCAACATAATGAAAACCTTGGGAGGGTGCTCGGGAGGGGGGGGGGGTGCACATAAATCGTTACAATAAATTCATTCATTAAAAGGCATCTGCATTTAAGCGGCCAGTCCCTGGTGGTTATTGAGCGAGCAAAAACTAAAACGGAAAAAAAACTAATTCCAACGAGAATAAATATATGTTAACACAAAAAAAACCTTCCATGAATCCCGATTCGTGATCGACGACGAGATTCCCGGACGCCTTTTTTTTGCAAGGCGCCGTCTGCTCTCCCTGGCGGAATGGCAAATTTACGAAGGAGTTTGGGGGGGGGCCCATTTACGCGATGAGAGATGCATCATCTTAATTGACCTCGGCTCCAATGCGGGCAGAGTTACGGCCCTCCGAGATGACGGACGACCAAACGTACCAGGAGGGCGGGAGAGGCTGCCGGACGGGAAACGCGGGCGGCGGGTAGAGAGAGAGAGAGGGAGAGGATCGTCATCGCGCACCTCCGCAGGGTCGAGAGGGGCGACGGATGTAATTTGTCATTTCGCGTTCAACTCACCACCCCACCCCCCCCCCCCCCATCGCTTTAAAACACTCCGCGGATTGCTAAATGAAAATCCACACGTGCAGGCGGCTTGATTGCCTCAGGCCGGAGCTGTCTGGGGCTGAGCTCCAGAAAATGTTTTCCTCGCCCCCTGTGCCCCAACGGCTGTCGGGGGATAGGGGCGGGGGTGGGAGAGGGATGACGAGGTCGAGGGAACTGGGAGATCACCGAAAAAAATCACATTAAGCCCTTCGTACATGCACCACTTTGCAGGTGGTAGTCGTTGTAGCAGCCCAGCCCGTTGAAAATCCACTGCTGGGTGAAGGTCACCCCTTACTGTGTGGGCCACGGGCAGGTGTGACCATACGCCGCTACGCTGGTCGGTGTGGGTTGTTGAAGGCGGGTGTCATAGATACAGGTGCACAGAAGCACAGTGCAACGATGGCCACAATAAACAATATCTGTCATGCATGATGGTCGCCCATCCGAGTTCTGTGCTATGCAGGAACAAATCTGCTTAGCTTTCAAGATCTGATGAGATCGGCCACATTTCGAGTGATTTGGTCAAAGGAACAGTTTAATGGAACTAATGGCATGCACGGTTGTCTACGTACGGTGCGAAAGAAGTTCAACATATGAATACATACGTACATGCAACGAGGCTCTGTCGGTGGCGAAACAAACACACACGCACACAATCAAAATAATTTACATGGAGGATGAAGGTTTCGCCAAGGTGTTGTCGGTCAAGGGCGAATGTTTGTTCATACTTCACCTTGCTGGTCCGCGTGGGTTGGTAAAGGGCCTTGGGAGTCCAAGGAGCGTTGGGGCAAGTGCCGTGAGCGAGCACCTATTAAGGCCCGCTAAGGGGCGGTGTGGGTAACACCACTCCTAGCCGTCCATTACTTCCCCAGGTACGAACGTTGGTGTGTTCCCCAACCCCCCCCCCCCCCCCCACCTTGCCATAAGCCCACCCTTCACCGTCCCACCAAAATGTTGACCCGTCCAGCCGGCTTATTACACAGCTGAGGTCGGGTGTCAAATGGTAGTGCCACTGCTCAAAAACTGTCTGGGTGCGATTCGTGCACGTGCAGTCACTCACGGCTTTGCCCGCGTCTCCAGCGAATCCGGGAAGGCCAACGTCTCCTTTCGCGCCCTGCAGAGTCAAACACGATAATGGCAACGTCACCCGCAATTGAAAATTAATTCACGTCGACGTTCAATTCTCACGCGCCGCTGTTTCCGTTCGGAAGTAACTCAAAACATTGCCTTGTTTTTGTTTCTCGCGCAGGTTTAGTGACCCCCCCCCCCTTTTTCTAAAACATTTTACGAAAGGGAAATGAGTCTCTAACAGACACTTCTGACATCGTGCGCTGTGATGTTTGTGTTATTCTATATCAGCGCCCTGATTGTAACCGTCCCGACATATGGAATCTGTCTCGCGTCGCTTACGTTTGACATTAAAAAAACTCATTCGCCGCGTGCACATTTATTCAACCTGACGCAAGTGTCACGTGCGCATTGTGTCCTGTTAACGAGGAGCCTAAGCATTTATTTTTTGGATGAACGTAAGATCTTTTGTTTATCTGCTGGAAGCGTCTTAAGGAATCGTTTTAAAGCTCCGCAGAGATGGAATGGATAATTAATTTGCTTTAGCACCGCCCTGCTGGCAACATCACAGCCCAAGCCTACAACACCTGTGGCATTCCCAGGCAACCATCTAAATGAGAGCTACACGAGTGTGGCCCACTGGTCCTTTACTTTGTCCAAACTCTTGAGCTTGTGTAAATTCCACATTCCTCTGACAGGGATGAGCCAGTCAAGCGGACTGTTATATTGGCCTCATGATGTTTTTGTCAGCGATTACGAAGCGCTGGAATTTCACCGGGAGGCGCAGGGGTCAGAGACACAGAGCCGGCAACCCACTGAGATCCCAGGTTGAAGTTCAGGTTTCAGCCACCAGTGATCACAACGGGTTCTCAAGTGTAACCGAGTTAATGGTCTCAGCCTGGTTTACACTTTATTTTGGGAAAATGCCGTTACACACTTAAATATTTTACTGGCACGCAGTGAGCAACCCCACGATAAGGCGCAAGAGGTTACTTGAAGGGATCTCAGAAGCAGTTCTGGGGTGTCTACTTCCGAGAGACGTTCCCTAATATACGGGCTACTGGACTGGACTGAGAGCGTTCCAAACGGACACTTCATCTCATGACCTGACACCCATGGCGCATTTGAAATACAGCTTGGGGGGAGATTTTTTTTGTTGTTACAAAGAACCAGAACAGTGCCTGTCTTGAGTCTCCGATCAAGAATTATGATTATGGAGCACAGATGCACAGAGTAATAATTTATATTTTATATTCGTATGTATGTGCACCATCAACAGTCCCCCACGGGCCTGGCTGTGGAAGCATGCAGAGCTTGTTTAACATTATACAAATTATATTATAAACGGAAACAGATTGCTCCTTGGAATCAATCTGAACCTGCCTTTACGATTAAGAGAAGGCAGCCTCGCCGTTCAAAAGCGATCCCAAGCGGCGATCACACAGAGGCATGCGTCCAGTCTAATTTTTCACTGCTTGCCACCTGCTCTAACTGGTGTATTTATTGCAGAGTTTGTGTCTCCAGGTCACGGAGCACACAGGGACCTTAATGCCGAATGTGAAGTTACACAAAGCTTCTCTGGATGTAAAATATATATATATACTGTGGAGTTTGTTTTTTAGTTTTGAGGTTGTGATGCGCGGTTTTCAGCCGCGCGTTTGGTGTTGCCCTGCGTGTCGTCCTGCACGCTGTCCGACGTGTCACTTCTTGAGCCTCTGGAGCGAAACCTCGGACATCGTGCCGGACAACACGTGGTACAACCCGAAAACGCGCATCGCAGAGCGACAGTGAAACCATTCTTCATATCAGTGTCCTTCACGAATGTTCAGAGGGGAGGCACTTTCGCCAATAAGACATCATCAGTGTGAGGGCCGCCAGACATTTGAAACCATTGGGTTTGACATCACGAAGATGGGGTGTGTCAGGGGCAGCACTAAATGGAACCAGAAGCTGCCAGTGGCTCGTGAGCCTTGTGATGACGAACACTGCTTTAGATGTTTTACTTTTTGGCTGCAAAATCCCGGCGCAGAAATACTTATTTGCCTGCTTTGTTCACAAGTGGCAGAACGGCTAGCTATAGGCGTGCACGGCATATTGGCCCCCTTCCAGACAAACTCAATTAATAAGCTGGTATTTATTCCGCGTGGGCGACGGAAAGCCATCGAGAGGACCACACACACACAACAACAAATGGGCGATCGAGCGCTACCGCTTTCAAGGAGGGATGTGCTAAATCCAGGGCCCGCAACGGTCAACAGAGGAAGGGCAAAAGATGTCATCCCCGTCTGAGCGAGACTCGGCGGCATTTTCTAGATTTTTGTTTTGTTCGTGACGACGTTAGTCTTTAGGTGCAGAAGAAAAGGGGGGAAAAAAATAAAAACAGACGCGCATGAAATAACACCACCTCGAAGGGACGTCTGGCCAGCGTAAAAGAGTAGGCCAAAACAATACAAAAAAAATTACATCTGATGATCATTCGTTTTATATAGCGTCATCGTTCATGCAAATTGCATCCAACAATCGCTGGGAAACTACAGACCGAGCTGGACGGCTGCTGGCCGGTGAGCCGGCGCCAACAATTGCTCTGCAATTCTCTATGTATCAAGATGTTTCCAGCCAATCCGTGAGCGTTTGTACTACATGTGGGGAGGAAACCGGAGAACCGGAGACAACCCACGCATGGGAGGGGGAAACACTCTATGCCATACAGAAGGGACAGACGATATCAGTCAACACTTTGCTGGACTGCCTTCTGCTGGCAAGCCGGGGAATGGCGCCTCACCCACGGCAAGGTAGTTTCACAACGCTCGTGTGATCCACAAACCCTCGTCGCCTCCACAGTGCTGGATTCACAGGCCACGTGCAGTATAGCCCCTTCTTGCAGCAGTGGTGTGAGCAAAGCAATTGCGGGGGCTGCACCACGGTGGCGAGAGGGGCGCCAGACTGGCGAGATGTTAACTACCTCGCCTGGTATACAGGAGGTCGTGGGTTCGATCCCAACCCTGAAGCCTGCTGTATATTTGGGGTTTGCATGTCTTTCTCCCCGTGTTCGCGTGGATTTTTCTCCAGATTCTCCGGTTTTTCCCTCCACATTTAGAAATACGGGTTTAGAGTATTTGGCTGCTATAAATGTCCACGTGATGAGCCACTTCGTTGACCTATCATTTGTGGCCAGATCCCTTCTGAAAAGGAACTATATAGCTCAGTATGCCTGACCTGGTAACATAATAAAAAAACACATTTGTTTAGTTTATAGTGTTTGCCTTCAGGTTGGTGCTGCAATGAGCTACAAACATTAGCAATTTTTTTTAATTCCCCCACTTCATCCCACACCGATGTTTGTTCATGCGCGCGAGTTTTAGTGCAAGGCGCTCGCTCGTTCGCTCGCTCTACGGGTGCCAGCGAACGCACGTGGGGTGGTAGGGGGGGCAGACACGTGACGCAGCCCGCTGCTGTCTTTACCTGATCTCCGAGGGGGCCCCTCTCGCCCGGAATGCCCGCTAAGCCCTGAGAGAGAGAGAAAGAAATTCAGATTCGAACAAACAAGCAAACAAAAAAACTCACCGAGCGAACATTGAAATTCCCGACTTTTTTTTCGACGAGGTGTACGGAATCGAAAGTTGCTCCCACGCCGCGCGCCCGGTGCCCGTCACTGCGTGCGGCGTCTTGAGATGCGACGCGAATTCAAGCGTGCAATACTCAACGGGCGCGCAACGGCACGCTCACCCTCGCGATTCGCGACAAAATATCACTGTGGATACGTTTCGCAGGAGCGCCGTCTCCTTTTCCCCCGACGCACCTTCCGATTAGTGATTTGTGACCTCGTGCAATCTGGGTGTGAGTGCAACATTATTGTTCAGACGGGTAATGCCGGCGCAGCGAGAATTTAACGTTGAGGTGGTTCATGAGCGGGACAACCGCGTCAGGGGTAGCGGAGTGTATCGCCACGACGATGCCTCCTCCTCCTCCTTCGCATTTCGCGAATCGGGCACCGAGTCGTCACAACCCTCCACGGTTCCGCTCGGCGCGGCCACAGTCGACGCACAACTGCCTCAGGCCGTTTTAGTCGTTGCGCCTGCCCACCGGGGAATCGCGAGCGCAACAACGCCGGGGTGGAACGGCGTTCGCGGTCGTGAGCGCTCGTAAGAGGAGAGGAACGGAATACCGTGGAGGGGGAGGAGGCGGCGGGGGATGGGGGGGGGATGGAGGGTGGTCTCGCTGGAAACTGCGCCCAGGTTAACGAACGCCGAACGTGACGCCGCCTTAGCGCAGAAGCACTTACCGCGGGCCCGACAGGACCAGGCGGCCCGGGTTCCCCCGGTGCTCCTCGCGGACCCTGCAATCAAATAAACACGTCATTCATTCGGCGGAGGTAGTCGCGTGCCTCTGGGGGTGGGTTTTCACGTTAATATTCGCGTGAGAGCCCCGAGCCAGCATCGCAGAGATCGTGGGATCGAATCCCAAGCTTCCACCCGGGGTAATATCAGGTCCTCGGTCTCGCGGCGAGCCCGATGCTCTCGGCTCGGCGAGCGAGGGGAATGCAGATCGCGGAGTAGGCGTTCGGGGGTTCACTTCGGTTGCCTTTGTTTTAAGAGCCAGGTAAGAGGCCGTTGAGATCAGAAGTCGCTTTTCCCCACGGAGGTCTGCTGGGTGCAGTGAATACGTGGATGGCGACAAAGGGTTGAGGGAAACCGATTAAAACGGAGAGTTGAAACTAAATGGACGGCAAGCAATGTAATAGCAAACAGGGCTTGAGTTCAACAGATTTTAAAACAGAACTAAACTCGGACATATTCTTGGTTCTTTCGGTAAAGTCACGTAGAAGGGAAACAATAAAATAATAAAAATATAAAACAAGAATATGAATCCCTGCAGTCACGAAAGCTTTAAATCAAAATTTAAACTCGGACAGTAAACATCACAGAAGCAAAGAGGGTCACGTGCAATTAATTAAATAGCAGCATCAAATATCAGGGCATAAAATATCATAACAGGGTTTTGGCATATTCTTGGGTTTTTCGATAAAGTCACGTAGATAGGTTCAAAGTAAAAATAACAAAAAAAAACTACGATGTTTCGATCGCAACTCAAGCGTTCGTCTTTTTTTCTGATGACGAACGCTTGTGTTGCGATCGAAACGTCGTAGTTTTTTTGTTATTCTCTAGTTATTTTCTTTGAACCTATCAACGTGACTTTACCGAAAGGCCCAAGAGTATGAATTACTGCAGTCACGAAAGCTTTAAGTCAAGGGTTTTGGCAGTACACTATATATTAGGCACATACGATTAAAATGCTTTAAATCAATGTGTTTATGTTCACCTTATAGATAATGACTTCCCCGAATCAGTCTTGAGACTCAATGAGGCTTTACTGGGTCAAAAAATAAATAAACATAAGAGCGCGCGTGGCGCAAGAGGTTGCAAGTTGTGGAGGACATCTCGGGCACGGGGAAGCGACTGGCACGGTACGGGGAAGTGGGATGGCATCATCTCAGGCAGGGCTCTTTGTTGCAAGGCCCGCGGGCCACTGACGGCCCCCGTTGGCCTTTAGCACGGCCCCTGATGTGAGCCCCCTCCTCCCGACCACACACAAAGAGTGAAAACACCACCCCCATCATCATCATCATCGTGCTGCTGCTGTCAAACCCCCAATGGTTTCAAACGTGTGGCGGCTCTCTCACGCACTGCGGCGAAAGTGGCCCCGCCCTCTGCAAATGATTGACGAACCACCACCGGTTCCCAGGGGATGGCCCTGAGCGGAAATAAAAGTGGATTCCCTCCCGTGTTGAGCCGCGACCCTCAAGGCGTCGAGAGCAAAGCCGAGTTGGTGAGCCGGCGCTCGGGAAAAAAAAACACGAGGCTCCGGAGGGCGAACCCCGACCGGCCTACGCGTGGCTCCGAAGTCGACGGACGGCAACGTCGCGGGGACGTCGGGCGGATTTTTATTTTTTGGTATTTTTAAGTTGTAGGCCAGACGTCTCGCAAGAGGCCGGAGTACCCACGCTTAACCCCACCACCACCACCACAGGCAGCCTTGCCGATCGACCATATGTGGTGAACCCATTGACACTGCTGGGTGGACAGAGGTGGTTGGCGAGTGGGTGGGTGGGGGGATTTAAGAATCTCGCCCCATTGTGTCAACTGCCGTGCCGGGACATTGAATCAGCGACCTCTGGTTTGCAAGTTCAGTCTGCGTAACCCTTAAGCCACGGGAGAATCCCGAATTTATCAGTACAGTTTTTTTTGTTGTTTTTAGTTTCGATTCGACGCACACTGTTCACGTAAACGAGGACGCAGGCGCGACCACTTACTACGAGACTTGCCGACACGCGCGCACATGCAGTTTTGGCGGCAGTGACGCACACGGAGCTAGAGGTGCGAATTCCACATTCCTGTGGCAGGGGCCAGCCATCCCGAAGGAGAGCCGCAAGGAGATTTACGCGAATTGAAGCAGATCCAGCTTGTTGTTCGTGAATTGCTGACCCTGGCTAAGTCTAAACTTCACGATTTTTTTAAAACGATTTAGTTTTTGTGCTTCTAATGAAAAGGGAGACTGAAATAAACCGGACCTTAATGTAACACATTCATATGCCAGCCTACGATTATGTGTTGCGGGTGCGGCGATGTGCCCGCCGTGGCGTTTAAGTTGCGTCAACGGCTCCAAACCAACAACCCGGCAGAGTTCAACCAGTGGCTGGGGTGGGATTTCATCGCCTGGCTAAGACTTCGCACACGGCGATCGGTGTTTATTTCGTCCGTGTTTGGCTCTTTTTTTTTCTTTCAGAGCCCCCCCCCCCCATACCCTGTGGCGTCTCAGAGCAATATGCATCGCGTCTCATCTCATGCGTTTCAAAGGGCATCCCCCAGAGGCAGCTGTCCCCGTGGGCACGAGGCGACTCGGCACGTGGCCTGCCAGGAAGGGGGCAATTATTGCTGCTGTGAAATCCCAAATTGAGCAATTTGCGGATCCTGTCGCCAGCACGCAATGGCCTACTCTTCCGAACGACGTCACGGGGATGGGGGGGTGGGGGGTGTCTTTAACGTCCACTCTGAAGACAGATGACGCGTGCAATCGCGGTTAATGCGCCCCCCGCAGTATTGACCAGGGCTGCCGCTTGGATTCGAACCGCGAACCTGCGCAACAGACGGCGCGCGCGCGCGCGCTGCCGCTGGGCCGCGTCGCAATGTTCGTCGAGCCGGCGGCAACCTGTGGGGCTCAATCAGTTTGGTGTCTGCCCCCCCCCCCACCCACCCCCCGCCGCATCTCGGTGTGCTCTGTTGGCAACGGCATCTTGAAACAATGGGGGCAAGTACGTCCCCTGGGTCACCGCGACTCCTCTATCGGCGCGCGGTGGGGTGAAGCGTGGGCACGACGTATACACTTCGCCCTTTTCGATTGGCGCGGTTGGCCACGTACGGTGCGAAAGACGTTAAACATGCGCACGAGTTTCGATCTGCGGATTGAATTTCGTCATTGAAATGTAGAATGCGTAACCAGCAGCGGTGGGGTAGAGTGTGGGTACAGCGGTGGGGCAAAGAGTGAGTACATCGGTGGGGTAAAGTGTGGGTACATCGGTGGGGTAAAGTGTGGGTACAGTGGTGGGGTAAAGTGTGGGTACAGTGGTGGGGTAAAGTGTGTGTACAGCGGTGGGGTAAAATGTGAGTACATCGGTAGAGTAAAGTGTGAGTACATAGGTGGGGTAAAGTGTGAGTACATAGGTGGGGTAAAGTGTGGGTACAGCGGTGGGGTAAAGTGTGGGTACATCGGTGGGGTAAAGTGTGAGTACAGTGGTGGGGTAAAGTGTGTGTACAGTGGTGGGGTAAAGTGTGTGTACAGTGGTGGGGTAAAGTGTGTGTACAGTGGTGGGGTAAAGTGTGGGTACATCGGTGGGGTAAAGTGTGAGTACATCGGTGGGGTAAAGTGTGTGTACAGCGGTGGGGTAAAGTGTGAGTACATCGGTGGGGTAAAGTGTGAGTACATCGGTGGGGTAAAGTGTGTGTACAGTGGTGGGGTAAAGTGTGAGTACATCGGTAGGGTAAAGTGTGAGTACATCGGTGGGGTAAAGTGTGAGTACATCGGTGGGGTAAAGTGTGGGTACAGTGGTGGGGTAAAGTGTGGGTACAGCGGTGGGGTAAAGTGTGTGTACAGTGGTGGGGTAAAGTGTGTGTACAGTGGTGGGGTAAAGTGTGTGTACAGTGGTGGGGTAAAGTGTGGGTACATCGGTGGGGTAAAGTGTGAGTACATCGGTAGGGTAAAGTGTGGGTACAGTGGTGGGGTAAAGCGTGAGTACTCCTTCCCCTTTCGTCCAACGTTCCCGTGAGTAAGAATAGGCCAAATTCTCCGCAAATAGCTAAGGCCCCTTCTGTGTGCGTCTGCAGTGGAGTAATTACAAGTTCGTGGACAAAATCCATCTGAAACAAAGCCCCCACCTCCCGTGACACCACGCTGTCTGTTGACGTTCTCCGGGGACGAGCGAGTGGAATGTATTTAAAGATCGAAACAGCCTCTTTGAAGTGAGCAGGCTTAGATGAGTACAGACTCCGAAGACAATCTCCTCACATAAAGAGATTATTGGAAGACACACACAAAAATCACGCAAATTGGTGAAAAGAGTCCAACGCACATTGATAATATGCAGAATATTAGCTTCGCTGCGTGAAAGGCAAATGATCTAGCAGGTCGGTATTTATTCACCCCCTTTTGTCACCTCGTGATTCGATGAATTGTCACAAGTTAGAGGTCACGGTTCCAATCTAGAATCTGTGTTGTGTGGTTTTTTTTATTTGTGGCTAACGTGACACCTCCAGTGGCGGCGGGGGGTTGTGAGAACCAATTACATACAACGTGTGCACGATTCGAAAAACAAACCGACACCTACACACGTGCCCGATGCTACGCGTCTATCATAAACCCAAGGGTCCGTTTTAATCGGTGAACCGAGGGGCTGAATTTCAGGCGTTTCGTGACCTGAACATTTTTTCCCGCGCCCGGCACACCACGTCCGGTACACATCTCGCTCCGACCGCGGCTACGAGTCACGTGCCCAACTCCAGCCTTAACTAGCGGCAGCGGGAAAAAAAATATTTAGTGAGAAATTAAGCCCTCGGACGAATGGATTAATCCTTCGCATGCCCAGGGTCTCACGCGGAAGCCTAAGAGAAATGTTTGAAATGCGGGTGCGTTTTGTGTTTCAGTGGCTGCCGTATTTAGCCCGTGGCTCAGCGCGGTGGGCATCACGTGTGGCGCGTGTCCCTGCTCGCACGGACTCATCTGTGTTGCCTCTCTCTCTCTGTGTCTTATTTATTTCTTCATTCGCTCGGTTGACGAATCATTCGTTTAGTCCCGATTCGTAGTGTGGAGCACGGCGAGTTGCAGGCAGTTGGTGTTGTTGGTGGTTGTGGTTGTTTTGTATTGTGTGGCGGTCAGCGTGCTGTGCTCGGCGATCCGAATTCGATTCTCGATAATGGCCAACACCAGTGGTGAATATTTGAACCGGTCCCGGGCCTCCCCTAGGTCGACTCAACCTTAAATGAGTAACTCGTGCAGAGTATAAAAATCAGCACTGGGGAGACAAAGGTGGCTGGGCGTGATGCAGATGGAGCGATGAAATTGGATTGTGCGCAAGTGTTTGGTGGATAATTATTACATTGTGGGATCCTGAGCGATGGTGGTGGCTCAGGGAGGTCTTCATCCAACAGTGGATTGATCATGGCTGATTGCTTGATGATGATTACTCAGGAAAGCCTCATTGAGCCTCAAGACTCTTTTCAGGAGGGTCCTGCCAGGCCTTTGCAGTCGAGGTCTATGTTGCTATGTCGCTACGCGTCATCCCAATGGAAACATTTGCAGGTAATTTTTGAGATTTTTCGCCGACACCAGCTATATTTGATGGGCTTTACATTTTTTGTACCTATGGGAGGAAACTTGAGAACCCCGAAGAAACCCATGCAGAACAGGGGGAGAGAGAACATACACACTCCAGGAAGAAAGCCGCCCGGAGTCCGGAATCAGACCGAGGTCCTTCTTGCTGCGAGGCACGAACGTTGCGTGGCCACCCTGCCACCAGATGATGGCATTGCCACGGCGAAACAAGTCAGATTTAACCAAAATAGTCAAAAGACTGCTTATTAAGAGCGTTACCTCCTGACCCCTGGCTCCAGGAAGTCCGGATTCACCCTTCATTCCAGTTTCGCCCTGTGCATCAAACACGTAACATTAGTTCGTAGAGTGAGAACACTAAGCAAACCTTTTACTTATTCTTGTTATTATTAGTTGACAATTTGCGTTGTCAACATGCTTCGCTGATTGCCCTATCCAAAAATGTAATTCAAGGCAGTGGCGAAACACAGCTTTAAAAAACATTCATAACCAGTATTGTGTTTTCAAAGTCAGCCACTTTCAGAAACAGAATTTATTTCGGTTACATCAACTTTGCATTATATAATATTACATGTATCTGAAATAAAATATGCAGCAAAATGATAATAATTAATTCAGTAAGTTGAACATTTTATTCATGAAATGTTAAAAATTGGTTGATGACGTGCCAGGGCCTCTGATTCAAGTACTTCTGCTTCATTGATGAACGTGTTGACTTTGTATGTTTTGTTACAAGTGGCTTCTGTTCAAAGTGTTCTTACCTGGTCACCTTTTTGTCCAGACAGACCGATCATTCCAGGTGAGCCCGTAATACCCTGCAACAAAAACAGGCAAACAACGTCAAGGCATTTTTATTAAAACAGCACCGTCTATATATATTTTAAACATCGCCCTTTATATTGTTCCAACATCGTCCAACAAACACGCATGCATCAATGCGCATAACTCAAACATTGTGTAGCATACATAACTTATGGTTGGGGATTAGCAGAAAGATGTCCGTGATGAAGAAGAGCCATTGCCCGAAACGTCGCCCATTATATGTTTGTTTACATTTCACGCCACAGTGTTACTCACAAATGTGTTGAGCTTATTTTTCTTTTTGCACGAGCGGCCAACCTGACCAAAAAAAAACCCCTTCCAAAAAAAAACCCCGCTAAATGAAGCGCAAAGCAACTTCACATCTGCAGGATATACGAGGCAGGCGCTAGTGCTCTTACTGGGGAATACACAGACACAAAAAAACCCAATGACTCTTTTGGCCAGAACCTCTCTCACCTTTTCACCCTTGTCTCCCTTGAGGCCAGGCTGACCTGCCTGCCCCGGATCACCCTGTAGAAAACAGCCGCTACAGAGATCAGACTCGGCAAGTTGGACTTTAAACAAAACAAAAAAAGGGTTTCAATAGGAGCGCGCTACAGAGCACAAGCTGCGATATAGGGAGCGGATGCAGTGAAGTGAGGAGAGGCAAGCCCGATTTTTTGTTAAACGTAAAAATGTATGCGCGGAGGGCGGCATGCACGCGCGCTCCGGCACCGCAGTGCCAACGTAACGAGTGAGAAGATTGAAGGGTTCACGCCCTTGTGTGGAGAACGCTGGCTGACCTCTACAGGCCGAGGTGAGGGTCATCTGAACCTCAGGAGATCGCCACGATAGCATGGATTTCAAACGGCAACTAAAATTAAACGAATTGTAGGCAAGAAAGAGGGGCTAGTTTGCTGTGGTCATAACCCCGTTAGCATCGCCAGACTACACACTGATGCAAAGGGTGATATATATATATCCTATTCTTGTGTATGGCAGCAATATTTTCAGGAGCTAGATGCCAATGTCAAGGTCTGCTAGCCACGACGAGAGGGCTTCAGGAGAGAATTCCTAGAGTTTTGCTATCCTTCCTCCGTTGAAGGAGCGCAGACTACAGTGGTTGACTACGTGTGTAGTGGCATAGTGCAGCAGCATAGCGCTGGCTGCTGGCAGGGAAGGGGATCTGCGGCGTATGGCAGCCCTGACGTCGGCAGGCCACGTGATACACCAGAGGGGGATCTAGGGGAAAGGTCACAGAAGGGGCACACCAAGAACCCGCTGGTAGGTTCCAGAAAGGGGGCGTGGCCGGGGGCGGAGCCACGTGGACAGTACAAGAGGGGCGCCCTGTAGGGGACCTCGGGGCTGTTGTGTGGAGTGGGACCTCCGTCGTGCTGCTGAAGTCTTCGTGACCATTCTTCTCATCGTCGTCTTCACCATCTCGGGACGCCACCAGTCAGGCAGCCTACCAACTGTCCTGACTGAGTGACGTCGCCGACAATAGACGGACTAAACATTAAGAGTGTTAACCCCGATGGTGCTCGTTAATAAAGAAGTGCCCCCAAGTCTTATCGTCTCCGAGTTCGTCACTACACGTGTATGGACGTCATTCATTTGAAATCTATGTTGGTGATCTTAATGGAGCTGTGTTTAACACGTAGGCTTTTTGTGACCAATATTATCCATAATAAAGGGTTTTCTTTGGGGTTATATCGTGTAAAAATGTTAATAGGCAGGTTTTGTTTACGTGACAACCCTTACTTATTGACTATGTCGGGTGGTGACGGGTTTAACGACACATATATAAAAAACATTTATTGTGGATGAAGCTGTGTTGTTTTTCCACGTGGTTCCCTTGAAGTGCAATGCACTTGGTTCATTGTCCTCCATCATTACCATCGAGGTCTCAAGGCTATAATCGCCAGCCGGAAAATAAATTAAAAAACGCGTTCTTGTCTCGCTCTTCAAACGACTCGCGCCTCACAGCTCACGTCGCTTCGTCGCCACGCAAAGAAACTATCATCACACTCCCCACGAGTGATTATTTCACTGAGGAGACGCGTGGAAGGCAATGGGAGCCAGGTCTGATGATGAGCATGGATTTTAAATACAATTTTGATGTCTTTTTCTGATTCGCCGTTTTCAGCGAACGCATGGAGCCAAAGTAGCGCATTTCACTCACCTGTTTAAAATGACGAGTCAACATTTCTAAAGAAAACAGTGATCCTTTCGTGGCAGTGCCACTGCTTCTACGTCAGGGCCATGGACTTTTCAAACACCCGCTCACATATATATATTTTTTACTAAATCTTAAAAATGTCGAATGAAAATATGACAACCGTGAAGTTACCTTATCTCCTTTCTCACCCCCACCTTCCCAGTCAACGGCCTAAATAAATGACGCACAATTAATATTGTGTTAAATATGCATTGTGTTAAATTTACATTGTGTTAAATATACATTGTGTTAGGTATGCATCATGTTAAATATACGTTGTGTTAAATATACATTGTGTTAAATATGCATTGTGTTAAATATGCATTGTGTTAAATATACATTGTGAGGTCGTGGGTTCGAATACAAGCTTTAGCTGCCCACGATTGAACCAGATTCTCAATTGCAGAAAATTGATGCTCTAAGCCTGATCACCAAAGACTCAACAAAAATATTATAATAAAATGATTTTATAGTCACTTAGTGTGACTTATTCAAGCTCTGAGAATAAACAAATTCAGTTTCATTAATATATTTTGTCGGGCATATCAAATGTCCCTGATTAAAGTTGCCTAATGAAGGGATTTCTGATGTAGTTCTGTGATGTCATCTTCCAAGGCCATGTTCTGACACGGTGCTCTGCGAGGGTTCCGAATTGCAATATCCTCATCTCATTTACACGCTGCCGACAGCCACAAAGCGATATAAGCACAACATGCAAATTCTAGATTTGAAGTTTTCGTGACTGCAAGGATCCATACTCTTTGGTTCTTTCGGTAAAGTCACGTAGATGAAAAATAAAAATAATAATGATAATAATAAAAATGAAAATAACTAAATTAAATCACGACGTTTCGGGCGCAACACAAGTGTCCGTCATCAGGCGGGGAAGCACCTGTGTTGCGCCCGAAACGTCGTGATTTAATTTAGTTATTTTCATTTTATTCTTTTCATTATTATTATTTTTATTTTTCATCTACGTGACTTTACCGAAATAATCAAAGAGCGATATATGCAAAAACGTGATAAATATATACAACGTTGAACGGTGGCGAGGGAAGTGCTAACCATGTCCCCTTGTTCTCCTTTTGGTCCAGCAGCTCCCATCCAGCCTTGGAATCCAGATTTCCCCTAAAAGACAAATACAAAGGTCCCCCGCATAGCCTTAACATACTATTGGGGCAAGTGCTGTTAGCAAGTAGCACCTATAAAGACCAGAACGGTACACGAGGGGGTGGGTGGCCAGCACAACACCCGACGGCCTTTGTCTCCCTCGTGGCGATGTTTACACACCCACACGCTACATACTCATTTGAGGCTGAGTCGACCTAGAGGAGGCCCATGATCGGTTCAAATAATTATCACTGGTGTTGGCCGTGAGCGGGAATAGAACTCGGGTCGCCGGGTTCATAGCGCAGCGCGCTAACCACTACACTACCGCTCCCCACAAAAGAGACAAAATCAAAGATCCCCAGTATCTTACGTACAGGTTAATACATAAACACAATAACCGAGACTTACGTTTCGAGCTTATAAAACACGGTTGGCCAAACCGCAGCTCGAGAGCCGCGTTGCAGGACCTGGTAAAATCAAGTACTCGTCTTTGTTTCTTTTTTTAATCTATTTTTTTCACTTTATTTTTATTTGAAATTTTCTATCTACGTGACTTTACCGAAAGAGCCCAAGAATCTGAATTCCTGCAGTCACGAAAGTTTAAAGTCAAAATTTAAAATCAAGAACGTTTCAAGATAACTTTATTCGAAATTAAGTCTAAAAAAAAAATCCGCGGAAGCAGGAGTGAGCCTGGGTCATGTGCCCCTGGTAGCGGACCCGATACCAGTACTCCCCGGGGCGCTCCCGTAGATTTCTAATTGAAAAAAACTCTTGATTTAAAGCTTTCGTGACTGCTGTAATTCATATTCTTAGTTTTTTCTCTTCAACGTGACTTTACCGAAAAAACTAAGAATATGAAAAAAACTCCACAGCAAAACCAGTGTGAAGGAACCGGGCGCTTGACCGCCCCACATGACCCACTCAGCTCATTAGTAAGTCAAGTGTGTATTGAGACACTTGGCCCGGTTCAGATATTAGCCATTGATATTACCCATGGCTGAAAATAGCCAGATTTGTAGCGCAGTGTTAGCCACTACACTACCGCTCCATCCAATAAATATACATGCTGGGCCACCACAGCGCTTGTGCCAGGCTAGGTGCACTTTGACCACGTGAAGTGTGGAAGGCTAGCTCCTGGTAGGAGGTCACGGGAAAAACCCAGGTATTATGGGTTAGCTGACTTAGACGACTGACAAATATTCAAACACACACGACAAATTACACACACACATAGCAACCCAATTTTTCTTAAGCAAGTTATCGCCACCAATACTGAAATGTCAACTTATGAACAATTAAACGAGAGCATCCCTATATTTTCTGAAAGTACCATTTATGATCATGCAGCAGTTCTTAAAATGTGACATTTGCCGTCGGAAAAAAGCATTGTGTTGCCACTGCCGACACTTGCTACACGCAAACACAAATTGAATGTTCAGCACATTCGCAAATAATGTATTTTTATCTTAATTTTAATTAGCATTTCCACGTAATTTAAACATTTACCACGTAACTTAATTTAATGCCGGGTCATTCGAGGGAATCGCAGGGAAACACATTTGATGAAGGTGAAGTTTACGAGTAACCTCGCCACTGCCGTTCGATGAAATTGCCTGAAATGTCCACCAATATAATTTCATGCCATTTGCCATTACCGTTGCGCTTATTTAAGCTTTTGAAGGCACAAACCTTGAAGCCAGCATTCCCCGCTCGGCCAGGCAGCCCTCGATCACCCTGGAAGAAGTTGCGCACATCCAGTGAAAATTCCTCGTCCGTCACGTAACTAATCATAGGAGCGATAGCATGGCTATCGAGTGTGCAGGCGGTGCAACTGCAACATGGCCCAGGTACCGGGCTACGAAGAGAGTGTTGAAATTGTCCAGGCACCACCCATTTAATCCGGTTGCACCAGGGCCAATGCCAACCGCGCTACACCACAGCATCAGATCACGTCTGCTGCTGTTGTACCGTCTACGGCTATTAAGCCGCTCATTTAAAATTTGTGTGCGCTTTGAACGTAACCGACTCTTGTTGTTGCGACCGATGATATCTATTAATGCGGCTTGTTGCTGACCGCTTGGCAATGTTGGCCCTTTGAACCTGTGCTCAGCAGCCGTGAGAATTATAATTTAAAAAAAGAGAGTAATTTTTTTTTAAAAAATAGGGAGTCTGCCGTTGACCGAAGCTGCGCGACGCGCGAGTTCGTGGGGTCACCTCTGGGCCGGACGGCCCCGGCGAGCACGAGCAGTTGGGCGACGGGGTGAGCGTGGAGACGAGCGGAGAGAACCGCCCGGCCGGCGGGAGGCGACTCGTGGGCGGAGGCGCCGTGGCCTCGAGCCGCTGAGCGCACTGTGGGTGACATGTTGCCGCGGCGACGGTTTCAAAAGGGCGAGAGGCGGTCGGAGGCCGAGTTGGCGACCCACCGAGAACCTGGGTTCGAATCCAAGCTCAGTTGGTGTGATGGTCTCAGCCCAGTAAGTGATGACTGCGCAAGGCCGTGACATTGTTTAGATTTTTTTGTGACCATCACGTGACGAACTTTACACTCATATTCCACAACAGGTGGGAAGGCGTTGCATTCTACCGTGTATGGGTCAGAGAGGTCACTTGAAGGAATCTCAGAAGTAGCTCTGAGAAATCCGCTTCCATGGGCCGTTCTCTAACACGGAGGGTTGCACCTCTCTGTGAGACAGTCGTCACATCACATGGCACCGACAGTACAGTTGGGATAATATTATGTGGGGGGGGGGGGGGTGGGAAAGATTCAAATATGGGGAGGTGGATATAAAGAAGGAGAATCGCGATACAGGCTTAAAGAAACAAAATCTAATCGATCCTCGTTTATTTCCACCGGGGAGTTTCACTCTTCGCTGCCCGCGGAGGGCTCGTTAAGGGGCACACGGAGAGGCAGGCCGTGTGGCACCTGTGCAGCCCCATCCCACAAGGTACAGGAAGCCGCACATGTGCTTCTCCTTTGTGTAACTTTTTTATAGTTATGAACGGTTTGTCGTGCTTCATTATTATTTGAATGTTGGGGGTGGAGGAAATGCACGTGCACGCGTGTACGAAAGTGGGCCTCCCGAGAAGTTGAAATTTTGGAGCGATATTCGTTCATTCATCATCGGCTGGCGAACTATGGCGCCTTGTGTCACGTTGGCCAAGGGGGAACTCTACCCGCTTGGCCCAAGGGGTTGTCTTTTTCATAAGCACGCCCACACACACACACACACCGACGCAACCACGCACGCGCCCACGCACGCACACATCCACTCACACACCCATTGCGTGCACCCACACACGCACCGACACATCCACCCACCCACGCCCCCATGCGTGCACCCACCCACGCACCAACGCACCCACGCACACAGCCACCAACCCACGCATGCACCAATTCACGCACCGACGCATCCACAGGAGGAAATGTTAATATTTGCATTTGTTTTCTTTCGCCGCAGGCCGTGTACAAAATTGGAGACGTGGGTCATGATTCAGGCACACAGAGTGGGGGCCAATTTGAACAAACACTGCCTGGGTCGTTGACGTTCGTAAGACGCTGCTCGAGAACCCCAGTGGTGGCTCGTGACATTTCCACTAGGTGGGGCCGTTGTGAATGACCTCTGAAAAGACGGTGTTCTAATTCAGAAACAGCTCGTCATGTTATTGGCCTTCCCGTGAAAGTGATATCACTGTCTTATCTACCAACGGTAAGGCGTTTATAAACACTCAAATGCTGACCCCATGACCCTCAAGTCCTCACTTCACATCCCCCTTTGACACTGACAAACACCGTGAGCTGATATATTTGCACAGTGCAACCTCGCGTCGTGACATCGTCTCATTACAGCCATGGGCTTCCTTGAACGGGTCTCAAACGGCGTGGCTAAAATGCTCGAAGCTCATCGCAACGAACGAAGGGGGACATCTCTCACTCGGACGCCTTCACAGCCGCCCCGAGACCTCCCCGAGGCACTAGTCACGGCTGTGGCGTCGCAGCGGTTTCTAATACGAACAACTTAAAATGTTATCTTCATTAGGAAATTCACGTTGAAAAAATCGTTATATATATTTTTTAAACGCAACAAAAACAATTTATAGGAAAAGTATTTTTTGCTAGAAAAATAATTTCTCGTCTCCAGCTGCTTGGTGGAGAGGCAGGCCGTGTGGCACCTGTGCAACGCTCCTAGCGGACGAACCGCGCCTGCCCCGAACACTCAAACGATGTCCAAAATCTCTGATGTAACCTTGAGTTAAATCTTGACTTAAAGCTTTCGTGACTGCAGGAGTTCATATTCTTTGGGTCTTTCGGTAAAGTCACGTAGATAGGTTCACTCACAGAAAATAACAAAAAAAACTACGACGTTTCGATCACAACACAAGCGATCGTCATCAGGAGGAGGAAAGAGTAAAGCTGTTGAGGCAGACTGTTCTAAAGGTTTAAAATGGGTGTAGCCCAAGGGTCATAAACGAAGTGGGCAGGGCTAGTTATGTTAATGTGTTAACATTAACATAGCCACCTCCGCGCCGTCGTCTTGGACGCCGTACTCCGATCTTACATTAACATGCTAATTTCTCACATTAACATAACTAGCCCCGCCCACTTCGTTTATGACCCTTGGGCTCCACCCATTTTAAACCTTTAAAGCAGCCTGCCTCAGCAGCTTTCCCCTTTCCTCCTCCCGATGACGATCGCTTGTGTTGTGATCGAAACGTCGTGGTTTTTTGTTATTTTCTTTCAACCTATCTGCGCGACTTTACCGAAAGACCCAAAGAAAATGACCTTGAGTTTATAAAACAGGTTTTTTTGGGGGTGGGTTTTGCCTGCACTACACCGAGATCTGCGGAACAAGCTGGAGAATTGGCCCGCGGGTACTTTTTGTTCTCCTGTAACGCGTGCTGTTTTTCACAACGCGAATTGGACGTAACGCGATGAATGTATGGGGGGAACACGTATTTTTTATAACGCGGATGCGAATTGGATACAACGCGATCGAGTGAACGGAACCGCGTCGCGCGAGTCGGAATAAAGCGGTCGTATGGCTGCCTCGGCGTAGCTTCACACACGGCGGGATGCTGCTGGATGCTTCTAGTTGCTACCCACGTGCCTCAGTCTTTGTTCAGCCTCAACGTGTTATCGCGGACCGTGCGTTCCCCTGTATTTTATATTATTCATGATAACGCGATTTCTCCATAGCGCGGTGTTCTTCAGGAACGCAACTAACCGCTTTACAGGAGAACGGACTGCACGTGTGGTATGTACGTTGAACTTCTTTCGCACCGTACGTTAGCCAACCGTGCTAATCGGAGGTACAGACAACCCCCCCCCCGCCCACCCACGTGAGCGGGGACTAAATGGCGGTAAGCAAATGAGAGGCTGCGCATGTGGGCTTGAGATTCGACGTCGCGTCGCCCGTACCTGGGCGCCCGGAAGCTCGCAGCAGCTGTCCTCCTCCACTTGGCGGGGGTCGCAGTAGATGAGCATCCGCAGCAGGTCGAACTGCACTCGAGAGCAAAAAGGCGGGTTCTTTCCTTGCAAGAGGTTTTCTATTTGGTGTTTGAACACCTTAACGTCTGCTTTTCTTGCCAGGAAGGGTAGAACCTATTCTTGTTTTTGTTCATACTTTGATACTGGCAATAAGGTTATTTGATGTAGCTGCTCACCCCGAGCTATAAATGCTCCGATGCGTGCATTGCCCTTGTACTGTTCGCCTTTTGGCGTTCTCTGGTCTGACACTGGTGGTGAGACTAGGCCATAACCAAGGCTGCTGTCTCTGGTACAGGCCAATCAGTTTCAAAGGCAATGCCCATCTATTATCAGAGCCGTGTTTGTTTGCATGTTCACAACAAGTACCGTGTGTGGGTAATGCAGACTTGATTCCTTGCAAAAGTTTTCTATTGGTTGTTTGAACATCTTAACACCTGTTTAATTGCCAGAAAGGGTAAAACCTATTATTATTTTCCATTCGTCATCACCATCATCATCAGCAGCTTCATTCAAAGACACTCAATTGCAGGGATGTAACAGTGGGTCGATTTATTGATTCAATCATTCGACATGCTCATGTCAAATAACTATTTTAATTTTACCAGGTGAGGCCCACTGAGCTATGTAGCTCTTTTTATCAGAAGCGACCCAGCCACAAATGATAGCTCAACGAAGTGGTTTACCACGTGGAAATTTATAGTAGACCAAATGCTAAAGAAAAAATGGATATTAAGTGTCGTAGGTTTAGATGGCGGCACAACAATGGATTCTTAATTTTATCTGTACAGTGTTGCGAGTGCGACCCGCCCCCCACCCCACTACTGCCCCCCGCCCCCCGGTACAAATTGTGGCTTTTCCCCGTGTTCCGCTAAGAGCTCCCGCACGAAAAATCAAACACTCGGTGGGAATGGCCGAACGTCCCGATTGCAGGAACCTCCTGAACAAAACAAAAATTGACGCTCAGAGAGACTTTCCTGCAGAAATAAATGTCGACGTTATGATATTACTACTATTATCATCACCATCAATGACAAAGAGCCGCCCCGTATAGCTGTTAGCGAGCACCTATGATGGCCGGCACGGCACACGAGGGGGTGGGTGACCAGCACCGCGCCCGGCCGCCTTTGTCTCCCTCGTGGCGATGTTTGCTACACGCCACACCAGGTACTCATTTGAGGCCGAGTCGACCTAGGGGATGCCCAGGACCCGTTCGGATATTCGTCGCTGGTGTTGACCGTGAGCGGTTAATCGAACTCTCGTGGCCAGGTTCGTAGAGCGCGGCACGCTAACCGCTGCACCACCGCTCCCCTCCACACACACGCTCGCTTTTGCAAGGGCACATACACGCGCCACCACACACTCACCACCGCACAGTCATCACCACCATGCAGTGACCACCACCACCACCACACGCTCAACATTCACGCACCACCATCGACCGTCCACCGTCACCACACTCACGTCGACGGGGCCTCCGTCGCGGACTCGCTTGGCCAGATCGGTGCGTCCCCCGGGGTCGTCGAGGCCGGCCGAGGGCCGCCGGTCGGGCAGCGGCCTGGCTCCGGCCACCGCGCAGTCGACGCGCAGCTCGGCGCGACCCCCGCCCAGCGAGAGGGCCAGCGCGTGCCAGCGGCGGTCGAAGAGCGCCGACACGGCCGGCCCGCGGAACGAGGCCCGCGTGCCCACGGGGGTCCCGCGCACCACCAGGTCCAGGGCGAGGCGCTCGCCACTCAGACGCACCGCCAGCTGCTCGCACAACAAAGGGTGCCCCCCCCCCCCCCCCCACCTCGTGCGTGACCTACTGGGGCGAGTGCTGTTCGCGAGCGACGCCGGCGCTCGAGAGGGTGGTGGCGTGGCCAGGCTCATACCCGGCAGCTTGTGACTTTCCCAGCGCTGATCTTACACAACGGCGGCGGGGACTCGTTAAAGGCTGAGGTGACCTAGGCGAGGCCCCAGGACTGGTTCGGTTTCACGCGCGGGTCGTCGGGTTCTGCGCGCACCACTAGCGGCCCCCCACCCATAACGCTACGTGTGCACACAGGAACACACGTGCACGGCATGGAAGGTGTCGGGAAATTTACAAGTGGGGGGCTAAAGACCCAGGGACATGGGCGCGGGGTGGGGGGGTGTAGGAAGGGAGTGGGGCTGAGGCAATGACCTGCATTTCTCGGTAATGCTAAAAGTGAAACAATTATAATTTACAATCCTTTATTAATCTTCTTCTGGATGAAGGTATCCCCATACCGTATCGACCCTGCGGGTTGTTTGACCATACTTCACCAATCTGGTCATTGTGGGTTGGTGAAGGGATGGCTCAGGACCGGTGCAGATATCACTCACCAATGCTCATAATCATGGCCATGAATAGAACTCAAGTTCTTAGCAAGGTGTGCCAACCACTGTGCCACTGCGGGCTGGGTTAGAGACCAGGTCTCACCTGTGTCTGTAAGGATGGAAGGGCTGGGTTAGAGACCAGGTCTCACCTGTGTGTTAGGATGTAAGGGCTGGGTTAGAGACCAGGTCTCACCTGTGTCTGTAAGGATGGAAGGGCTGGGTTGGAGACCAGGTCTCACCTGTGTGTTAGGATGTAAGGGCTGGGTTAGAGACCAGGTCTCACCTGTGTCTGTAAGGATGGAAGGGCTGGGTTGGAGACCAGGTCTCACCTGTGTGTTAGGATGTAAGGGCTGGGTTAGAGACCAGGTCTCACCTGTGTGTTAGGATGGAAGGGCTGGGTTAGAGACCAGGTCTCACCTGTGTGTGTAAGGAAGGCAAAGGCTGGGTTATAGAGCAGGTCTCACCTGCGTGGCACCATGGGCGTCCGTCATCCTCCACAGGTACCAGTCCTCCCTGCGAGACGTGGTGCGCAGGCGGAAGAGCATGGTGAAGGAGAATTCTCGCGGAAGGCCCTGGGGGAACACCTCCCTGTCACACAGACAAAGCAATGAACACCGGCATCATTTCACATTCACAACAGATTACAGTCGCATAGATTACAGAATTCCAAAAATAACTGTTACGTTATAGCATTTATTACGTATTTACTTAAAGGGAATCACTGTGGCGTGATGGTATCTTCATCGCCTGGCATGCAGGAGGTCAGGGGTTCGATTCTGATTCTGACTCTGACGCCTGAGTCTGCGTGTTCTCGCCCGTGGTGGTTGATTTTTTTCTCCGGGTCCTCCGGTATTTCCATCCACATTTAGAAACATGCCTTTAGATAGTTCAAATTATTTGTATTATTTCGCTTCTATAAATGTCCACACGATAAGCCACTTGGTTGAGCTATCATTTGTGGCCAGGTCGCTTCTGAAATATAAACTAGCGAGCTCAGTGGGCCTTACCTGGTACAATACAAAAATTAGTTTAGTTTGGTAAAAAAAGTGATTTGTTTACCTTTCCTTTACTTCGTACTCTTATCGTGATTAGGCATTATTTGTTGCTGTAACGTTGTGACCCGACCCTACTAGGCATCTGTGAAAAAACAGCTTCATAGCTCATCAAATTCCTCCAGTACAGTATTTTGAACTTATTTCGCACCATCCGTAGCCAACCTGTGCTAATCGGAGGTGCGGGTAACTAGCTCAATTGAGCGGATCGTGGAAGCTGTCATCCATTCGTTACCAATAAACACCTCGCACCTGGCCTCTGGGCAAGCGTGACCCTGTGCCCTGCTTCGGGGCCCTCTGCCAAGGCTGCATCGCTCTCCCACGCCACCTTGCCACGGACCCAATGCCACCAACATCTCGGCTTGCCAGCGCCACCCAAAATACTCTCGAGTGTGAACACCGCTCGTGGGAGCAACGGGGGCCGGGGCCGGGGCGGGCGGGCGAGGGGTGGGGGGGCACAGATGGCCGGGCCAGCGGCGTTGTGAATTTATAACCTGCCTTGAAAGCGGCGTCTATGTACATAGGGGTGTGTTACACGCACCTGTACGATACGAGAAAAATACAGGCACGCACGCGCGTGCACACACACGTGCGTGCGTGTGGGGGAAAGATGGGTGACGGTCACGGGGTCAACGGTCACGGGGTCAACGGTCGCGAGGGGGTGTCATCGTCGTGAGGACACGTGCACCCAGGAGCACGTGCAGCGCTCACTGATTCACCCCATTCACTCGCTAACCGGTGACCAGTCACCTATTTACCACTCTTCTACTGCGAACCACCATGGGAACTGATCGCGTGAACTTCACTCGTGCCGAGGACCCGGTCTACCAGACCGTTTGATGTCACACACACACTGTTCAACCACCACACTGTAGGCCACAGTGTTATTGACGAATGTGTTGATTGTTTTTGATACGATAGTGCTGTTTTTGTTGCATGTATGTTGTACTTCTTTTGCACCGTACGTAGCCAACCGTACTACTCTGAGGTGCGGTGCAAGGACAATAAACTAAACACAAAAAGCAGTTCTACAGAAATACGTTTTCAATCTTTATTTAAAAGTGCACAGCTCCAGTGGTTTCCTAATATCGGAGGAAAGAGCGTTCCAGACGGCCGGAGAAGCTCGTCTGAAAGCGTGCGATGCAGTGACCATCTTTGTTAGACGGTTAGCCAAAAGCCGCTGCGAGAATGACCGGAGTTTGCGTGATGATGGTTATGTTCTTGACTACACGGCATTTTTGGGCCTTTGTGTGTCCAATAACCGTGATAAACACAAATATATAGCACGTGGCTGCTGATGACGTACAATTCCGTTGACGTCTCCTGCCCGAGCCCACTTAATTAACAGTCTTAGCTATGTCCTTGACACGCGTACGCTCTCGGATATTCGTGTCGCTATTTCCACCTCGCAGTGTCATTCATTCCAAGCGCGCGACTCTCCGTGCTTGACCGTGCAACCCTTCCTCAGCTTTTGTTTAATTTCCAGCACAGTCGGCCGTCAGTGTATCATCCGATTCCACGGCAGAGCGGGTGATGCGCACCCATCGAAAACCTTTCGTTTTCTTCATTTCCATTTGCCACCCATTGGTTAGACGACCACCGGTTTAAAACCAGGATTCTAACCCAGGCTCGAAGCGGTGCTGGCTCAGTGTCCTGACAAAGTAGCGGTTCCCCGAGTCGTTCAATTCAGCTCCGCGGGTGGAGCCATAATCCACGTTGACTATCGCTGCCAAGGAGACAGCGGTCAGCTGCCCGCCGAAGTTTTTAACGCTTGCACTAGGCCAGCAAATGAACCGATCATACTGACATGACCACGTGCTAAGCCTTGTCACTGCACGCCCACACACACACGCACGCACTGCCAGATCATGATGTTTAATTTAATAATAATGCCTTAAATATACCCAGCAAAGCCTCGCAAAGTCTCAACGGTGCTGCATTGGAATGTTTTGCCAGCAGGAATCGAACTCAGGTAACTGGCTTTGTCCCGCAGTGTGCTAACCGCTGCACCACCCCTCCACACCGCAAATTCCTCCGTATGCCTCTGTTATTCGTTTTTGTGGGGGGCGTAACGTTGGGATGAGTCATTTTGTGCTCGTTAACGCAATTCTTAAAGAGCCCCCTTTTTGCAACAGACTCAACTGTCACCTACCGCTTCATTTAGAAATCTAGTAAAAAAGAACATTATCACCCATCACGCAAACTCCCGTCATCCTCGCAGCAGGATGACGGATCACCGTATCGCACGCTTTCCGACACGCTAACGCGGCCGTCTGGAACGCTCTTCCTTCCAATATTAGGAAGCCACTAGGCGCTGTGCACTTTGAAATCTAAACTGAAAACGCATTTTTTTTAGAACTGCGTTTTGTGTTTCGTTGTCTTTCCACCGCACCTCCGATTAGCACGGTTGGCTACGTACGGTGCAAAGGAAGTTCAATATACATACATACTGTGCATCAGTGACCCACAAATTCAAATCGTTTTCTAAATTCCATTCATTCAACTCGCGGCTTCGTACGCCGCCACTGTTGTGACCACGGCCTCAAAACAGCGCTAATAACCACTCGTCGCGAACAGGTGGCGCGCGCTTCCCTCCGTCTTCCCGCGAGCAATAGCGGACAAGGTGACGACTGTGAGAAAATAAAAATATATATCTTACACCCCCGCTTGCTGTTCTACACGCGGATGGTTCCCAGTGGTGATTGCTAAGCTCGTAGATGAGGATCTGTAAAGATGTCCCATACCCCGCCTCCCCTCGCCAAACTTCATCGCGGATAAGACGAGCTCAACCGCAATTAGAATTGCATTAAATCTACGCAATTCCCGGCTACTGGTTGAGCAGTGAGCCGACTCTCCCGTGCGTTGCTGTGTGTTCAGCGGTTCCGTTGTCCCTTTATTGAGGGCTAAGGTAGAAAAACGCGGACTTAAAAATGCCACGCTTTGTTTTTTGGCTGCCCCAGCATTGTCACGGGGTATCTCTGAGCCATATCTGAATTATTCCGGCGGTGTCTCTTCGTCCATATGTGACATTGTTTTGCGGTGTCTCTTAGCCACATTTACCAAAAAAAAATCATCTGTGCGGGTGTCCTTTATCCATATTTAACATTTTTGCGGGGTGTGTGTGTGTGACTCTCTCTCTCTTGCCTTGTCTCAATGAACTGAAAGACAACTGCAGTGTGTCTGTCGCCCACTTCGCGAGAGGGACGCGGAAGACGCGTGATTTGCGGGCAGCCCCGGCGAGCCGGCGCTGAACGTGAGACTTTCCAGCAGGAAATGCCACCACGGGGTGCGGGTGGAGGGGTGATTTATTTTATTTATATATTTATTTATCGGGGAAAAAAACATTCTCCATTTCTGTAACGGTAGGAAGTAACATCTAAGGTGGCCGCTTACGCATCGCTCCTTGCGCCTGGGATTTGCATTTCAGCGAGAGATGGCAGCTGCAAGCCAACGTCGCCCAAGACGGGTGTCCGGTGGTCGTGGTGGTCGTGGTGGTGGTGGTGGCAGTGGGGAGCGGTGGCGCAGCAGTTAGCGCGCTGCTTTTCGAACCCGGCGCTGCGGGGGTTCGACTCCCGCTCACAGTCACCGCCAGTGACGATTATCTGAACCGATCATGGGCCTCCCCTAGGTCGACTCAGCCTCAAATGAGTACTCCGGTGCCGGGCGCGGTGCTAGCCACCCCACCATAGGTGCTGCTCGCTAACAGGACTTGCCCCAACAGTCTGTTAAGACTACACGGGGGAACTTTGCCTTTGCTTGGTGGTGGTGGCAGCAGCGGTGGGGGAGTATCGGAGTTGTGGTGGGATGGGGGGGGGGGGGTGGGAAGCGTGGGAGGGGGGGGGGGTCTAACAAGCAACGCGTTGTGTAATTTCACACGTCAACAAATTTAGCATTGGTCAGCCGAGACGTCGCCTGTCATAACTGAGAAGTCCTCTTGCCACACGATGCCGGGGCATTTCTTAAGTTGACGCCCCCTGGCATGGAGATGCCGCTTTCCCGATGTCGCCCGGCAAGAAGTTTTTTGTGTTTGTATTCGCCCGAGTCTTGCCTCCGCGTGAGCAGTGCAACGAGTGAGTCGCGATGTCAGCGAACGGGTTGTTTCATATCCGCCGTGGAGCAGATTAAACGCGGCGACCTGCTACGTCTCAATCGCTCGAACGCCAACCTGGCGTGTTGGCACGAGAGTATTTCAAAATGTTGTTAAATGTAAAATAAATAAATATATCTTACGATCGTATTGCCGTGCTGTTAAGGATAGGACGTAAAAAAAACATTACAATGCGGCATTAAATATATTTGAATGTATTGATAAATTTTAAATACTTTTGTAGCTCTGTACACCTGAACCAGCTCACATTGTGTCACTCGATGTAATCAATTGAGAGTAAATAATAATGATCTAAAGTTCCATTGCCAATCCACTGCTGGATGAAGGCCTGGTCTCTAAACACCGTGTCAATTGTGCAGGACTGTTTGAGCGTACCTCATCGAGCTGGTCAGTAGTGTATGGGTTAACGGGAGCCACTCACCACTTGC